GGCTGAAATCACACCGGCTTCCCAAAGAACCCGTTTCTGATGTCTCAGGGCACACGCTGGGCGGGGCTGTATTAGCTAATGGCAGGTGTGCTGTCTAACAGACAATCAAAGGCTAGAAGGCCAGTGACGACTTTTTCAAATATGCACGTTACACCAAATCCCTGAATACCTAGGTGTTTTTAAAGGCTCCATTTCAGGATTCTGCTGTTAATTCATAACTTAGAAAAGCAATAAGGATCAAGCATATATCAATTTGAAACGTATCAGCTTTCAAATTCATCAGTTTGCTTGACTACTCAGAAATCATGCTGTGTATTATAAAACTGTACGGCTCACTGTAAAAAACTTTTTGCACCAGCAGTACTGTCCATCATCATGAGACTGGCACAACTTGGCAATGAAGAAGTATAGCAAGGTCAGGAAGCCTTTTTTTTTTTAAAGCAAAGAAACGTATGATTCCTGCTGAATTATTTGGCTACGTATTTTATTCTGGTTTGTGGGGTGTTATTTCCTTCTGTAGGCTTTATTTTAAAGGGTGAAGGCAAAAGGGAGGTGTCTGAATGGAGAGTGGACAGCACTAATGTTAGATAGCCCTTAGTTTTGAGGCGTCTGGGTTATTTCAAGCCATCCTTTTCAGAACCCCAACTTCAGTCTGAACACAGTCTCCTGAGCAGCTTCCCATGGCTCATTGCAAACCCACAGTATCGAAGGCAGGGGAAGCCGGGCAGGGCCCCTGCGGGTTATCCGGGGCGTCCCTCTAGGTTTCAGAGGCCTCCCTCTATCTCTCACACCAGAAGCTTATCTGGCAGGGTCTGGGGCATGTGCAGAAGTGTAATGAGGCCTGACTTCTGCCAAGGACAGAGCTTCCCGCCCCGCTTACGTGGGGCTCCTGCCTCTTGATTTAGCTCGTTTGAGGCAACAGCATTATGAAGCATATAGAGCATGTCACCGAATGCTAGGAACGGACTGCTGACTAAGCCCTGCTACCCAGACTTTCTGGAACTTAGAAGCAAGGATAGAGTCTGTAATAAGCTCCACTTCATTCCTGGCCCCTGAAATCCACTGTTCTTGGCTGCGGCAGAGCTCTCTTATGTGTTTACCTAGTAACCCTCCCGATACACATTAAATGGTGTTAACTCTAGCAGTTTGATGCTGGATCCTCTGCAGAAGGCTGCTTCCATACTCAACGGGACTGAACCAGCTTCAGAAATAAAATGTTCTAACGGTACAACCCTAAAGGTTGGCAATTACTGTTATCTTCCTCTGGGCGTCAGATTGCAAGACATACAGTGCTATGAAATAGTTCTCTGCCAGGGGCTAAAAAACCTAACCTGAGTCAGAGGTAACCGCTTCCCTGCCCCTCCGTGAGCTTTGGCATTTTGCACAAACTCCAACAGACCTGAATTCAAACCTGAATCCGCTACTTAGTTAGCTAGCTGGGCAACCTTGGCCAAGTTACACGGCCTTTCTGAGCCTGCGCTGTCATCTGGAAAATAAAAACAATACCATCTATCTCAAAGAGTAGTGATGAATATTAAGGACAGAACCAGTATTAAGCACCAAGGAAAACAACAAAAGCATCAGTGAAAGCACCAACCGTTCCTTTTGCCTACTCTGGGCCAGGTACTGTTCTGAGTGCATTCTGTTTGAACTGACTCAATCCTCAAAGAGTAATGCTATTATCTCCATTTTATAATTGCTAAACTGGGGTAGACAGGCTAAGGGACTTGCCCAAAGTGACACAAGTAGTAAGCACCTACGCTAGGGGACCTGAGCGCAGGCAGCCTGGGCTCAGGTTTCTTAACCTCAGGATGTTTTTCCTTCTCCTTACCCCAAGGAGGCGCTGACTTTCATGCAGGATTCGCCACTCACACATGCACCTTATTGGGTTGTTCAATTGCATACAAGTTGGGGCAAAAGTGGGTTTACAGTGGTGGGTATGTGAAATAGTTTCTTCTTGTTATTATTCATTGATTACTTCGTTATCTCCCATATGAACAACTGTAAACCTGCTTTTGCCCCACCCTGTATTTGTGTTTAGGTATGTTCCTTACTGTGTATGCTGGGGCAAGTTACAGAACAGGTCTGCCCTCAGTTTCCACATCTGTAAAATGTCCTTCCTACCTAGGACTGTCAGAAATAAACGAGTTCATCAAAATTAAGGCTTGGCACTTAGGACAAGCTCCATATAGGAAGGACCTTTACGTCCAAAGTCGAGAATCCGAGGCATCGGTGCTTGGTAAGGAAGAGTTTGTGGCTGGCTGAATCCAGTCGTAGTTTCCAATGACCTTACTTGTTCTCTGGCAAACATAGTGCATTTAAAAATAGACTTAAGTTCCGATTCAACCAATGAATACACAGGTCCACAGGATTTTGATTGGAAAGAAATGAGGCCAGGCATAAAGTGAAATCAGAACGAAAGCAAGAATTTTAGTTATTAGAACAGTCAGGACAGTCTGGACATCTGCTGGAGGCTTTCCAGGTCATGAATTGTATTCCACCTACTGGATAAATGTTATGGCTCCTAGCCAAGGAGCTCAAAAATTGTTTTGGCCTGGTAAAAATCTTTGGGTGATATGGGTTAAAACCATTTTATTCCCAATACTGTTGAATACCACAGATTTTAGAAGTGAAAAGGGAAGCTTTTGTGAATGTGCTGGATATAAAATACCACATTAAAGGGAACTACAGAGCAGATAGATCACCCTAGGTCACTTGCGCACTTCTGCGATAAATGTTATTTAGAGCTTTGTGTTTACTTATCTTGCATTTAAATTTACACTGTAATGCAAAAAAAAAAAAAAAAAAAAAAAAAAAAAAGGTGCAATACTCACTATTGTAGCTGTCTTTACATGCTCCATGGGGATACAAAACAGAAATGCAGCGCTCAGATTTTGAGGGAAGGAAGGGGGAGCTACTTATTTTTCATCTGTAGCTGCTGCCACAGCCGCAGCACACACATGCTCCAATCATGGGATTCATAATATAAACCTCTGGCCGGTGATACCCACTGGAAAGCTGAAACTGCCATGGATCCCGAAATGCTTCTGAAGCTCTGCTGGGTGTTGCATTCAATGAATGGGGCCTATTGGGAAACCTACATTCTTTGGGAGACTTAGTGAAGAACTTTCAACCCTTCCTTGACTATATATCCTGTTTCCCCGAAAATAAGACAGTGTCTTATATTACTTTTTTCTCCCAAAGTTGCGCTAGGTCTTATTTTCGGAGGATGTCTTATTTTCAGGGAAACACTGTAGTCTTGACCACTGATTTCACATGTGACAATGCCAGACATTGCACAACTGCCCCAACTTATATCTGAGTGTCTCATCTATTCTGGCTCGGCCCGCACGGCTCAGTGGTTGAGCAGTGAACCTATGGATCAGGCGGTCACAGTTCGAATCCCCGTCAGGGCACAGGCCAGGGTTGCAGGCTCGCTCCCCAGTAAATGTGCAGGGGGCAGGCACATTATAGGAGTCTTTTAAATTACTGCAGGGAGACCCTAGGGCAGTGGTCGGCAAACTTCGGCTCTTTGGCCCCTTCAGTGTGGCTCTTCCACAAAACACCACGGCCTGGGTGACTCTGTTTTGAAGAAGTTTAAGTTGAAAAAATTTTGCTCTCAAAAGCAATGTCAATCGTTGTACCGCTGACATTTGGCTCGGCTGACTAAATTGTTTGCCCACCCCTGCCCTAGAGGCACCATCAGCATGATGCTAAGGGAAGTACCCCCACCAGGCTTTGCTATTCAAATTGAGACAATCTGCTGCTCACCTAGTTTCCCTCGGTCCTCTTTTAAAGGCAACTGGGAGTGGGAGCAAACCTTAGTCTCCTTAACATATTAATCAGTTCCCTGCCCCACCCAGCACCGCCTCACACCCTCAGCAGGAGCCACGTTCCCAAATCCACCAGGACAGGAACAATTCCTATTGCAAGACCGACCCGACATTCCTACTTACTCCCACCCTCCCGTTAATTCACTCACTTTTTTTTTTTTTAAACAAAATGTAATTACTTGACGGTCAGCCTGGCGTGCGCTCTGGGGCCTGCGCTCCTTTCCACACAGCTGCGCCGCCGGCTTTGAGGCTGCTGTCCGCGCAGCTCGTCCCGGCCGCAGCCCGGCTCTCCGCGGTGTAACATTCAAGTGCGTATTTATTTTTAAACTGACCTCTCCTGGACTGCGCCGCCGTATTAAGGGAGGTCCTGCCAAAAAATATGCTACTTTCTATTTATAAGATGAAACACATGCCTCCCAAAGTCGAGGGGAGGGGGATGCAGTATAGTAATTCATAACAAAAAAAAGCAAAAACAAACAACAACAAAAACGGACTGACCAGATCCATTTGTCCTCACGTATCTGATACTTGTCTGCTGTCAAGACACTTCGTTTCAAGAAGAAAAACATCTTGAAAAAGCTCCAGCTGTTCAGAAACCACGGACCAAAAAAAAAAAACCCACCCCAAACCAACTGCCAGACCTACAGGTTGGAACTCTGCTCGCCATGCCCGCCCCCCGCTCCCCATCCCCATCCCCGCCCCGGCCCGGCCACCCTAAAAGCGGGGCGCGGGCTCCCGGAGGTCACTGCCCCCGCAGGTCTGCAAGGCGCACCGCGTGCGGCCCCGGTGCCAGCCCCGGTGGGAGGCGAGCGGTAGCCACGGGCGGCTTGTTCTCCGATGGAAAAACAACAAACAAACAAACAAAAAACACACGAAGCAATCCACGCGCCCAGGGTGGCTGCCAACAGCTCGGAGGGTGCAGCCAGCGTGCAAGCCCACCCTGCAAAGCGGTGGCACCGGCGGCGGGGTCTGCGCCCGGGTGCCGGCGCCCCTCTCCCGCGCCCTTCAGGTCCCCTTTTGTCCTGTGGACGCCAGCTGGAAGGGAATGCCCGGGAGCCTCGTCCCCGAGGGGTTTCCCAGCCTAGTAACCCCCCGTGCACGCCGGCCGCCGGTCGGACAGACTCACGGACAGCCAGAGAGGATGCGGACGGAGCCGCGGGCACTCACCGGCAGCCCCAGGACCGCAGCGCCGGGTCCGCGCCCGCCGCCTCCGGAGGCGCACCAGTCCCCGCCGGCCACGCGCAGGTCCCTCCTCACTGCGCCACCCGCTCCCCGCCGGCGAGAAGGCGCCCGCGGCCGCTGCGCTCCGGGATCGCCCGCCGCTCGGACCCTCCGCCCAACGGCCGCCCGAGAGCGAAGGTGCGAGAGAGACTGAGCGCGCGGCGGCCGCGCCGGGGCTGAGCTGCGAGGGGCGGGGCGGGCGGGCGGGGCGCGGGGCCGGGGCGGGGCGGGCGCGGGGCCGGGCGGCGGGCGGACCCACCCCGAGGTGCTACCTGCTCCGCGCCCCGGGGCGGGCGGGTGGACGGGCGAGGGGGTCCCCGGCGGCGGCAGGGCCTGCGAGCAAACGGAGGACAATGGGTGGGCACCCACTTTTTCACCTCCCCATCGCTGCCTCCAGGGAGGGGGCTTAGGGGTGCGATCAGCTCCCTCCGCACAAAGAGAGCTCGCGGGATGGGACGCCCGGTTCAAAAAAGGGGGACCCCGGGGTGCTAGCGCCTAAGGTACCCGAGGACAAAGGGCCTCTCCGCCTGCAGCCCAGGCACCTGCAACCCAGACACTAGCCCTCCTGCGCCCACCTCTCCTCGTCCCCCCGGGCCGGCGCGGAAGGAGCGCCCCCTCTCCCCCTGACCCCACCGCCCTGGGGTCCCCGCACCCTGGGGTCCCCGCACCCGGGACCCGGGCTCGGGGGAGGGTCGCGCTGTCAGTTTGCAGCCCGGCCCCCTCGGAGCGGTCGTCGCCAAAACCCGGAGAGTGGATCGCGCCCCGGAGACGCCGGCGCTGCGGGCCGGGGAAGCCGGCACAAGAGCAGCCGACGCTGCAGGTTTCCCAGCCCACAAGGAGGTGCTTGTGTCTTATTTATTTATTTTTTTTTTTCTTTTCCTCCCGCGGGTCCTAAGAGACTCGCCGCCTGCAAAGCCGGGGCGAGCGGGTGGCGGTTGCTCGCGACGCACGAGCGGGCGCAGGGGCGCAGCTGCGGGCGGGGAGCGTGACATCGACCCGTCCGCGCCACCTGCGCCCGCCGCTCACCCCGGGACCGCCGCCTCCCCGCCCCTCCCTTCCACCCCGGGGCCCGGTTAATTAGTTTTCTTAATCCGCCTCCGTCCCTTCCTCCTCCAGCCGTCGGCCTGGGGATGGAGTAGGCGACAGGAAAGGAAGGGCGGCGTTTTCCGGCGGCGAGGTCCCCGGGCGGGAGCCTGGAGCCGGGGGAGGAGGGCGCTCCGGGCCGGGCCGCCGCGGTCGGCTGGAAATCCTGGCACAAAGCGGAGCCCCCTCCCTCCGGGGGCCTCACTGCAGAGCGGCATCAGCTGCGGGGCATCACCGCGACGCCCCGGGCCTGTCTGTCTGAAACCTGAGGCTGCCAGGGCAGCCCACGTGGTACCCACCGCCGCTGACGTTAGGTGAAGTGAGAAAGGAAACGGACACAGCCGCGCTGGACAAACAAAACGCCAGGGTGGAGCGTGAAAAGCCTCCGAGAAAATAATGGTTGGCAGGTCAAACGGCCGTGAGGTTGGAAGTCAAAGAAATCTGACAAGCAAAAACAGTCCGCGGAGATGAGAGGCCAAGGCATTGTTTCCCCGCTGCAAACAGGCGACTGCTCCCAAGCTTCCCCTGGCAGATACCTGGGTTTCGACTCCAAGATTCCTGAGAGTTTTACTTGGGGTTCAGATTTCAAAATATATGTTCCACTTGGCACGGATGTGTATGTTTTTATGGATGAATTTATTGGAAAATATTAAATGTGGCTGGCCCCCTGAAAGGTATTTTTATACATATGCATAGCTTTCATTGCATATGGCATTTTCATAAGTACAAATTGTATGTATGTGTGTGTATATATATATATATATATATATATATATATATACTAAATACCACATGAAAAATTTCTTTTGCACATGTTGTGTAGTATGGAATATTGTTTTTCATTTGCTCTATTGTTAACTGCTGTTAACAACACTTTATTTCCATCTGACTAAATAGTAACTTCTTTGACAGCTTCTGCAAGCATAAAGCAGCAGGTTCTTTGAGGCAGCAATTGAACTCCCAAACCTTAGTTGTCTGTACTGTGCCTCACTTTCCGGAGATTTCACTGTCTGCCTGTCCTTCGCGAGGTCTCACATCTGGGCTCCACACAGTTTATCCAGAACCTGCCCCTGCCAGGGCCTGCGGATGCTGACTTGATTTATCCGGGCTTCTTTGATGCTCTCCGTTATTTACTTGTACTGAACATCTTTCTTGGTACCAGTGAGGAAGAATGCCCTTATATAGTGAGTTATCCTTTCAGAGGAATGCCTTTCCTGTGCTATGATGGCTTTTAGGTTGAATGTATTTTTATTTCAATACAGAAAAGAGAGAAAAGCTTGGCTTGGGGAGGACATGTTCAGGGTTCTGAGATGCTGCTTTGAATTACGGAAAGGTTTAGCCTTGGAAAATTGGTGGTCACCATAGAAGCCTCAGTGAGACTAAGACGGTGGACCTAGAGAAGATATTTTAATCAGGTTTGACCCATGCACTCATGTCTGTAGAGCAAGCGGCTGTTTTTCTATTAGTTCCAACTGTGGGAGAGGGGCCAACACGCGTCAGCATGAAGCACCCTCGCTGTCCAGAAACCTGCAATCTACTGAAGGGGCAGAGAGAACATGCCAGCGCAGGCAAGCAAGCGCTGACTAGGAATGTTCTAGCCTCTTGCCACCAAATGTGGTCGCGGGGCAAGCAACACCAACACTCCCTCCAGAGCTACTGAATTGGAACCTTCGTTTCCATGAAACGAATGTAAATGGTTCCTGTGCCCGGCTGATGCCCTGCTCTCGAGTAGTGCTTCTCAATCTTTTAAAATCACAGGCTCGTTTTAAAATCTCACGGGACTAGGAACACCGGAAAGCACTCACAGAGAATTACACATCAACTCTTTCGCATTCTGTTTCAGGGTTTCCCCCCCGTCACCCATCCACTGATGGCGAGAAAGTCCTCTGTAAAAGCCTCAGGTCACAGAGCCACTTAGTGTCACTTAGACTGGATTTAGCGGAGGATTCTTAACAGGAGGCAGAGCTTAAATTGAAGCTTTGAAATATGGGAGAAATGCAACGGGGAGAGAAGTCCAGAAAGGCAGGAGAAATGCGCTTCTCAGGAGACTAAACAACAAATATGCATTTTTTTTTTTTTTCTGGAGCCGGGTGACTGTAGCTTGATAGCAGGCTTTCCTTGCAATTTGCTACCACTGTTTGAACCTCCAAAAAAAATGAAATTGAGCTGGGGACTCAGTGGTCCGTCCACCTCAGGGGCAAGGACCCCTTTGGCAGAGGTTTTGTGTAGGATCTCATTTCTGATTGCTTTCCCTCTCTCCTTCTGCCCTGTCCGGGAGGCCTGCAGGCCTCTCCAGGCACTCCAACAGTGTCTGGGGCACTCCATCTGCCAGCCCCTTCTTCCCTGGGTAACCAAAGTAATCCATTGTCTTTATGAGACGTCTGGCTAGAGGCTGTTCCTCAAATAGCAGCCCTTCCCACATTCTCTTCCCCACCCCCCTCAAGCAGGAAGAATACAATGTAAGGTACCTGACATTATATTTATTAATAAATTCGTTTATGGCCTGTGTTCTTTAAAATGTGAATTTGGCATACTGTTGTATTTTCCATAACTAAAATGGGGCCTAGCACATAGTAGGCACTCAATAAATATTTATTGAATAAATGGACCCCTTGGCTACAACTTGCAACGAGCATAAAAAGCCGTGTTCACCAGCTCCATTGCTCCAGAAGTAATAATATATTGAACATTCCTGAAACATACCACATGTATGCTGAGACTGAATTTTCAACCACTTCTCTTTCGTCTAGCTGAACAAGAAATACTAAACACATGGAACATTTTAAGTTATAAAATTCAAACATTTTTAAGGAAGGCTTACAAAAAATGTCTTTATAGTCCATGTATAATGCATAACTATTTCTCTTCTGGCAAAGCTGAAGCACACTCCTGTGTACTCAGCTGGGGTTTGCCTCCGAAATGCCACATTCAGACTGAATTGGTGTGTGCATGTTCTCAATTACCCCTTGACGTTAGCTTTAAGGAAAAATGCTAGAGAAAGCTGGAAGTTTCCAGCATTTTGAATGAGAATGACCTTGTAACTGGAGGATTCCCTTCTTTGCCACCCAATTAGAATGTCACCAATCCTGAAAATAATGAATTTGGTTGAACAATTTGCCAAAACCTAAGGAATTTCTAAGCAGTGACTTCCTTATAAGTAAAGGACTTGAGGTTACATCTTGGTGAGGAGACCAGTTTTGCCTAATCAAAGGTAGCAGTTGGTATATCTGAGACTCTGTGAATAGGCGGAACGCAGGCCCAGCATATAGTTCTGAGCAGGTTAGCCAGGAGCTCACAGCAGCCACCAAATCCTAGGACTCTTGGCATTTGAATTAGCCTTTGAACTCAGGCTTCGCCAATCTTATTTGTGGAGAAGGCCTTCAAATACGAGGCATGCCGGATCCTGATTGTTGACTGGAAACCAGTGACAGAAGTCCCTGTGCACAAAGGACAGGCCATCTCCTTACAAGTTTATTACAGGTCACTTAATTTGGACTCTCACGAAGAAACCAGCAAAAAACAAAAACAAAAACAAACAAACAACAAAAAAAACAAACTGCCCTGGCTTTCTACTTCACTGAGAACATTTTATAGGGCAGTGGTCGGCAAACTCATTAGTCAACAGAGCCAAATATCAACAGTACAACGATTGAAATGTCTTTTGAGAGCCAAGTTTTTAAACTTAAACTACAAAAATAGGGTATTCCTTCAATAGCACTGTACATGCACACCCACACGTGGTATTTTGTGGAAGAGCCACACTCAAGGGGCCAAAGAGCCTCATGTGGTTTGCCAACCACGGCTATTCAGCTTAGGTTTGTTGAATAGCAGAGTTGAAGACCACAGTTGATAATAGTCTGCCCAAGGTCAGATAGTAGTCTGCCTTAGGTTCAGGGCCAGGGCCTTTTGCTGCCCCTCACCAGGCTGATTGGTTTAAATACTGACCCTGGCTCCACTTCCCTCTTCCCTTCCCCCACACAAATCTGTGTTTTCTGCTCATACAATACATATATTTGGAGAATGGTTAATATGTGTA